GCTGTTGATGTAGCGCGATCCGGTCACTCCTAGCTGGTGCTCACGTGGCTCCTGGAAGGTACCTGAGATGAGAAAGAAGAAGAATCTCCGGGGAATTTACCCGGCGGAGATACTCCGATGCTTAAGTTAGTACTATGGAGGAGAAGCAAGAAGGAGATGAAGGCTAAGAGTGCAGATAGCGCGTTCTCACTATACTTGAGAGATTAGAAGTCTCAAGAAGGAGTTTCTCTTCTGCCCTGAGGGCTTTTATAGGGACACTCACATCAGGTCGGGCATAACCGCCACTGGGCTCCTGCCACAGCCGTTACCTGCCAGGGCTGCGCAGGTGGCCGTTGTGGCATACATCTCGCCCGGGTGAGTGACACGTTTCCAAAGTGGCAAGCATGCATTTGTCTGCTGAGAGACGTGGACGCAGACTGTCGAAAGGACTGGGACTGCGCCGTCAGTAAGGGATATGGCGCAGTCTGACCGGTACGGTCTGTCAGTCAGGAGCTTCCTGGAGAGCGCTCGTGCGGCTCATTCACGAGCTATTTTGTAGTGAGCTTGGAACACTCTAGGATTACCCTTAGCGGAATTGGTCCTCGGAATGACTTGTCTGCTTGGGAGCTCGGACAAGCTAATAGCTTTAGCTCGCGAGCTAAAGTTGCCTCGGAGTATCTCTTCAAAGGTAGCTTGGGGAGCCTGGGGTTCGCGTCGCGGCAAAATCCTCTCGCGAGCTACAACGTAGCGAGCTGCTTTGTAGGCCCATCACTTGGTCGTACCAGGTTACAACGCTGAGCTGTCGCTCGTGCTGATTCAGTGTCCACATGTCACTGTTTCATAGGTTGGGTCAAATCATCCTTCATCAATTGCCCCCCACTCCTCGAGCTAAGAGTACTGCCTTAGCGCGGGGAGTTTATGAAGCGCGATTGACTGATTTGACCGAAATTCAAACTTGATTGACTGCCCTCATTAAATGCATTTACGGGAATCAAGAGATTTTCTGACTTTCCTGACTTTTTGGATTCCGAAAACGTGCTGAGGTGGCTTTTAACTCCGAACGTCGTGCGGCTGCGACTACCTTAATTATGGAAGACGTGCTGCCAATCGCCTTCGGTTTTCAGAAGGCATGCGGTCAGGGCGCCTGCAGGCCATTGGATCTGCTTTGATCCGAGCCATCAATTTGAAAGGGTGGAGACTATAAATAGGGGGCCCCCTCGGGCCTCATTTTCTCCCACGCCATCTTGCTGTCTTTGGATTTTGAGGTCGCGCACTTCACCTAGTCTACCCGAATTCCTCAGTTTGCTTCGTTTCGTCTCCTCTGGTGAGTCCCAATCGCTGTCAGCCATGTCTGGGTACCCATACCACACCTATCACAGGGGCGATAGCCAGAATGATGATGCTCCCTCGATCTCGGGGGGAGCCTGGGAGCAGATCCCGGAGGCTCGGGAGGCCTCTGGCGACATAGCATCTACTTCTAGGGGGAGGGAGCCTGATACCTTTGGCCCTTCCTTGGTGACAGTGGATAGACTTAGGTCTCTGATCCGCTACTTTCGCCTCCCTAGGGACCTGGTTTATAGCCTCCCTACTGGCAACTTCCCTTGGGAGCATGGTCCCAATGACATAGTAATCTTTCAGGAACAGCTCAAGGCTGGCTTGCGTCTGCCCCTGCACCCCTTGATAGTGGAGGTGTTAAATCACTTTAACGTCACCATTGACCAGTTTCATCCTAACGCCATTCAAAACATGGTTGGGACTATATCCCTGTGTTACGAGTACTGCCTTCCTTTGGACCTTGATATTTTTGTCTCTATCCTTTGTATAAAGAACACTGCTCCTGGGGTTCCTCCGGAGAGGCGCTTTTATTACCTCTCTCCCCGTCGTGACTATAAGCTCTTATACGAGCTGCCGAATAAGATTCCCGCCTGGAAGCGGGATTACTTTGTGGTTCGTAACCCCGAGGGGTGGCCCTTCCCAATTGCTTGGAGGGGCGCCATCCAGGACCCCGGGGCCGAGCTGGACCCTGAAATTCGGAAAATGATGTTGTCCTGGGCGTCGGTAGGCTTCCTTTGCTCGGACTACTTAGCCGAGGAGAAACTCGCGCAGGCCGGCTTGAGCCCGGGTAGGTTGCCTTTTTAGGTCGCGTAGTGCCTTGTAACAATATTATGTACACATGTACTTTGTTTCTTACCAGACTAATATCTTGTGGTTTTTTGGCAGCCATCATGTTTAGTGCTGATTCACGCCGCCTTCTCTCGAGCAGCCAGAGGTGCCATGCGAAGGGGACGCGCCCCGACCAGATCCCCTCTTCAGAAAGTACTGAGTTCGGGTCTGCCGAGCCAGTTTTACCCTCTCCTCCGCCCGAGACTGCGACGCCCCCACCCGAGGGGACTAGTGGGATTAACCTCGGGGGGACGAGCTCCCTCAGTCGGGGGAGGCTCCCTATAATCCCCTCCAGCCATGCCCTTACCCTCGGTTCCCAGTGGGAAATGGGAAGGAGTAAATGATTATCTTGTGGCTCGCCGGAGGAGCTGGAAGGCGATTACTAATGATGAGGTCGCACAGTGGGGGAATATGGAGCCCGGGGACCTCTCTGCATTCGCCTCTGCCCATTGCATGGAGGTAAGTGACCCCTTTCCCTTTTCCTCACTTGTTTTGCTCCTCTCCGCTGTCCTCTGATCTTCTCTTTCGTCGGCAGGTGAATTCCGCCATCCATGCCATGGCTCTCCAAACGCACATCCATCGCGTCGACGCCCTCGACCAGCGGGCTGCTAACAAGAAGCTCCAGGAGGCTCAAATCGCCCAGCTTTTTGAAGAAAGCGCGCGTTACAGTGAGGAATCGTTGAGGATGGCGGCGGAGAGGGAGCTCCTCGGGCAGCAGGTGTGGGACTTGGAGTCCACTCTGTTAACTCGGACTCGAAACTTTGATCAGATGGTGGAGGCTGAATGAGAGAAAGCGGTCTGGGATTTTAAAGACTTTCAAGAATTCCACGACCTCCAGGCGGAGTATGGTTCGGGTTCGTACCGCTCTGGGTTTAAGCTTTTCCGGTGGCTGGTTCGGAAGAAGTTCTCCGGACTCAACCTCGACGGCATTACTATGAAGGGTCTATCTCCTGAGACGGCGGACCAAGCGGAGGAAGAGGAGCCTGACTCCCCAGAGGATGAGGAGGCGGATCCTTGAGGTGGTGTTTCTCTGGACTTTTGGTGGCTTCCGGGTGCCGTAAACCCGGTCTTTCACAGGTCTTTGGTTGGGCGGTTGTGCCCCGTGATAGTCAGACTTTCCCGAGCCGTTTAGCTCGGTTATTGCACTGTTATTTTTCTTTTTTTTTTTGAAGTGATAATGAAAGTTCTTTCTTTCTTCTTCCAAGTATGATAGGCTCTTTGTATCTTTGCTAAGGCGATCTCGATACCTAAGCTATTAGAGCTATTTACTCGAAGTAAGGCATCTCCATGGTGCACGACAAGTCGACTACCACGTGTACCCGAACTATTTGTCCGTCGGTTATTCTTTACTTTGATCGTTGTACTAGGACAAGCTACGTTTGGTGGGGTTTAAGCCCGAGCTGCTTACACTCCTCACCTTGACAAGCTATCATGGAGACGACTGGGTCTAACTGCGTCGAGATCGTGTTAGCTCGGCATTCTTTGCCCTTAGGCTCTGAGGGTGACTTATAGTCTACTTTTGAGGTTTGCCCATGCCTCAAAGGCAACTGGGTCTTATTGCACCGAGTTCGTGTTAGCTCGGCATTTTTGCCCTTAGGCTTTGGGAGTGGCTCGTGGCCTACTCGGTTGTTACAGATAGTATTGTCTTAACTTGACAATATTCCATGCTCGAGGTACTTGTTTCCCTTTGAGGGTCTCGAGCTCGTACGTTCCTTCCCCGAGCACTCGCTTCACTCGGTAGGGACCTTCCCAGTTGGACCTGAGCTTGCCAACGCCGGGCTCAGGTACCATAACTTTACGAAGGACCAGGTCGCCAATGCGGAGGTTCCGCCTCTTGACCCTGGCGTTATAGTACCGAGCTACTCTCTGCTGGTAGGCTGCGGTCCTGATGTACGCGAGGTCCCTTACTTCATCGAGTAGATCGAGGTTGGTACATAACTCATCTTCGTTTGTTTGATCACTGTATGCTTCTAGCCGCAGCGTAGGTACTTCGATCTCTACGGGGATTACTGCTTCGGTGCCGTAGGTGAGATTGAAGGGTGTTTCTCCCGTGGAAGTCTTCTCCGTGGTCCGGTATGCCCATAGAACACTGGGTAGTTCATCTGCCCACAATCCTTTAGCTCTGTTCATGACTTCTACCTGTCCGTTTGCTTGAGGGTGTTCGACTGAAGTAAAGTTCTATCGGATTCCCATGTCTTGGCACCAGTCTTGAAGTTTGATGTCTTCGAACTGTTTGCCATTGTCGGAAATCAATACCCGAGGTAATCCGAAGCGGCACACGATGTTTTTCCAAAAGAAGTTTTGAACATTTCGGGCTGTGATCGTTACGAGGGGTTCGGCTTCTACCCACTTGGTAAAGTAGTCCACTGCTACTACTAAGAACTTCCTTTCACCCGTTGCTGGTGGGAATGGCCCGAGTAGATCGATGCCCCACTGTGCAAAGGGCCACGGGCTGGTGAGATACTTGAGGTCGGCTGCGGGTTGGTGGTGAATATTGGCATGTCTCTGGCATTTGTCACATTTTCTGACGAGTTCAATGGCATCTGCCTTCATTGTTGGCCAATAATACCATTGTCAAAGTGCCTTTTGGGTGAGGGCCCTGCCCCCCAAGTGTCTGCCGCACAGACCCTCATGAGTGTCACGGAGTACGAGCTCGGCTTTGGTAGGTCGCAAGCAACGCAGGTAGGGTAGCGTGTAAGATCTCTGGTATAGCCGTTCTTCTATCATGACGTATTTGTCTGTCTGGCGCTGCACCCTTCTGGCTGCATTGCGATCTGTAGGGAGGGTCCCGTGTAGCAAGAAGCTCACGAGTGGGTCAATCCAGCTCGGCTCTGCTTGGACGACGGGAGCGACCTCCTCTGCCCCCCCGAGAATGCTAGGCCGAGGCAGGTCCTCTATGTACACGGTTCTCATGGTGATGTCGCAGGTGCTGGCTAACCTGGACAGGGCGTCGGCCTCAGCGTTCTTCGGCCTAGGGATTTGTCTGATGAAGTGTGATTGGAAGTTGAACAGGGCCTCTTTGACTTTGGCTAAGTAGGCGACCATGGTAGGCTCGCGAGCTTCGTACTCGCCAGTGACCTGGTTGACCACAAGCTGGGAGTCGCTGCAGATAACGATGTGCTTGGCTTTGACTTCTCTGGCTAAGGCTAGTCGGCTATCAACGCCTCGTATTCTGCTTCATTGTTAGATGCCGCGAACTCGAAGCGTAGCGCGTACTCCAGTTTCGTGCCACTTGGGCCGTGCAGAACTATTCCGGCTCCGCTGCCCTATTGGTTCGAAGAGGCGTCTACATGAAGGATCCAGGGTTCCTCGTCCCAGCTCGCGCTTGGCCTAACTAGGAGGGATGCCACACTGGCTTCTACCTCACAGGGCTTAGACAGAACTGGCCTGGGAGCCTCGGGCTCACCCGAACCGGGGACCTCGTGCTCAACCGGCCTGGGAACTTCGGAGCTGAATGTGCACTCGGCAATGAAATCTGCTAAGGCTTGAGCCTTAATGGCAGTTCACGGCTTGTACTGGAGGTCGTACTCGCTGAGCTCAACGGCCCACTTTGTCAACCGACCAGAGACCTCGGGCTTAAGTAAAACTTGCCTCAGAGGTTTGTCGGTGAGGACGATAATAGTATGAGCTTGGAAGTACGGGCGGAGCTTCCGAGCTGCAATTACCAGTGCGTATGCTAGCTTTTCTATCTCTAGGTATCTCATCTCTGCTCCCTGCAATACTTTACTAACATAATAGATGGGTCGCTGGACCCGATCTACTTCCTTTATTAGTACCGAATTGACCACTTCATCGCTCGCCGAAAGGTACAGTTCCAAAACATCGCCCTCCTCGGGCTGGGTTAAGATCGGCACACTGGCGAGGTATTTCTTGAGCTCGTCAAACGCAAGCTGGCAGTCTTGGGTCCATTCGAACCCTTTGCTCTTAATTGCCTTAAAGAACGAAAGACAACGGTCCGCCAATTTGGACATGAAGCGGCTCAGGGCGGCTATACGACCATTCAACCTCTGAACCTCCTTCAACTTCCGGGGTGGTCTCATATCTAATATGGCCTTAATCTTGTCTGGGTTGGCCTCAATGCCGCGCCGGTTAACGATGTATCCTAGGAACTTACCCAAGGTCACACCGAATACACACTTGTTTGGGTTCAGTCTCATATTAAACTTACGTAGAATTTCAAAAACATAATGCAAATCTTGTATTAATTCATGCGAGAGTTGGGTTTTGACGACCATGTCGTCTACATAGCATTCTACTTTTCTGCCAATTAACGGCGCAAACAATTTATTTACAAGCCTTTGAAAGGTTGCCCCTGCGTTTTTCAACCCGAAGGGCATAACCTTGTCACAGTACAAACCGAACTCCGTGATGAAGGCAGT